AGGATGCCTCTGTGAGTTGGTGAAAAGATCAGGGAGATCTTTTTGTTATGAAACTCTGCTTCTGCTTCTCATTTTATATTACCAATGATTCCTTTCCATTGTTGCTGTCACAACTTAAAAACCCCCAAACAAACAAATAAAAAATAAGGTTAAACTTAGAGCCCTAGAGGCAATGAATGATAAGCCTGCTAACAAGATAAGTCGTTCAAGTCTACCAGATGCTCCTTAGGAGAAAAAGAGGCTTTTGCTCCCTGCAGGGCAACTAATTATCTATCATGCCCTTTCCAGCCATATAGTTCCATTCTGTGATATATTGTAAATCCTAGCCTCAATGCCTGTGATTGTTGTTGGTGGTGGTTATGTGCCATGGAGTCGGTTCCTACTCACAGTAGACCCTGTACAGGGTTTCCGAGGCTGTAAATCTTTACAAGAGCAGAAAGCCTCATCTTTCTCCCACGGAACAGCTGGTAGTTTCGAACTGCTGACCTTAAGGTACGCAGCATGATTCGTAATCACTACGCTACCAGAGCTCCTTTGTGATTGTGAACCCATTTAAAAGTGAGTTGTTAATTAATGTGGGTGTCACCATAGGATAATGACTGGCAAAAAACTGCAAGATCTGCAATTCAAACCTACAAGTCACTTCTTGCCAACCCTATGAAGGTTCTTAAAACCCTATAAGCAGAAACCTACTTTAGGACACTTAATACCAACAAGGATTAAGGGTGTGAATCACGTCACTACCATTAGGTTTTGTAGGGGACCTGGTCTGTGCATAATTTATAAGAAAGCTTTGGCAACGTTCACTTGTCTGCTATGGATCATATATCTGGCTCATTAAGTCTGACCTCAAATTTGTTTGTTGTTGTTGTTGTTAGGTGCCATTGAGTCAGCACTGACTCATAGCGACCTTATGCACAGCAGACTGAAACACTGCCCGATCCTGAGCCAATTCCACTACTGCTGTCACACTTGAGTCCAACCTTTGCATTCCAATCACCAGTAATGATCAATACATCTTGACTGCATGTTTGATCAATTTCAGGATGAAGAAGTTGGTAGAATTCTTCTATTTCATCCTCAGTGGCTTTAGTGGTTGGTGCGTAAATTTGAATAATAGCTGGTCTTCCCAGTAGGCGCATGGATATTATCCTATCACAGACAGCGTTGTACCTCATGACTGATCTGAAGATGTTCTTTTTGATGATGAATGCAACATCATTCCTCTTCAATTTGTCACTCCTGGCATAGTAAACCATGTGGTTGTCAAATTCAAAATGTCCAATTTCAGCTCACTGATGCCTAAGATATCAATGTTTATGCATTCCATTTCATTTTTGACAACTTCCAATTTTCCCAGATTCATACTTTGTTCATTCCATGTTCCGATTTTCAATGGATGTTTCAGCAGCCTTGTGCATCAGCAGCCTATCATCTGACCTGCAAATTTGGGTCCCCCCACTCCTGAGACTATATGTATGAGAAGAATCCCGTGACTGACCTCTTAAACTTGGAACTTGCCAGCTTCACAATTACATGAGCCATGTGTTGCAGCTTAATGCAAAACACTGGGACAGGAGAGGCAGGAAGAGTGCTGATTGCTAGCCAGGATTATGGTGTAGTATAATATGTTACACTTACAACTTGTCAGTTTGTCTATGGTGGCTTACAAATTACTGTGGTGCCTGAAGCTATGCTACTGGTATTTTAAACACCAGCAGAGTTATCCGTGGCAGACAGGTTTCAGTGAAGAAAGACCAAGAAGAGGGAGAAGGGATGACTTATGAATGCTTACCCATTGAAACCTCATGAATAGCAGCAAAACACTATTAGATATAGTGAGAGAAAATGAAAACATTATGAATAGCACAAAAATATTGTCAAGATATTGTGCTGGAAGATGAGTCACTCAGTTGGAATGCACTCAAAATATGACTGGGAAACAGCTGCCTCCTCAAAGTAGACTCGACCATGATGACATAAATGCAACAAAGCTTTTGGGACCTTCATTTGCTGATGGGGGTACAACTCAAAATAAGGAAAAACAGCTGCAAAAGTCTAAAAATAGTAGGTACATGGAATGAACGAACTATGAATCCAGGATAAGTGTAAGCTGTCAAAAATGAGATGGAACACATACATATCAATATCCTAGGTATTAGTGAATCCAATGAACTGGTATTGGCCATTTTGACCCAGATAATCATGTGATTTACTATATAGTGAAGGAAAAAAATTCAAAATAAATGGTTTTAAATTCATCATCAAAAGGCACATTTCAAAATTGTCTACTGTCTGTGATAAGATAATACCCATACACCTTTAAGGAAGACCATGTTAGTACCACGATTATTAAAATTTACACACAAGTCACTAAAACCAGTAATGATGAAACTGAAAAAATTCTACCAACCTCTTCAGTTTGAAATTGATTGCACATGCAATCAAGATGTATTGATAATTACTGATTACTGAAATGCAAAGATCTGAAACAAAGAGAAAGGATTAGGGCTGTATTCTTTCACCAGATTTATTCCATCAGTATGCTGAGCAGATAATCCTAGGATGTGGATAATATGAAGAAGAACATTGCATCAGGATTAGCGGAAGACTCATTAAGACTCTTCCTCTTCCATTAAGTCCACACCAGGACTCCTGGCCCATAGCGATCCTGTATAGGATTTCCAAAGAGCAGCTGGTGAGCTTGAACCACCGACCTTGCAGTTTAAACGGCTTTGCACAGTCTGACACATTAGCCCACAGCGCCACACCAGGACTCCTGTAAATCTTTACAGGAGTAGAAAGCCTCATCTTCCTCCTGCAAAACAACTGGCAGTTTCAAACTGCTGACAGTGAGGTTGGCAGCCTCATTAGTAACTACTACACTACCAGAGCTCCTAATTAAGACTATTAAGTGAATAAATTATAAGAAAAGGTCTTTTACACCTAGAACTATCTTTTCCCATTAATAGAAGTGAGAATGATCTAATAAAACTATGCTCAGTAAACTATCTACTGTATGATAGATAGTTCTATTAGATCTACCTATAAAAGATATTTCTCATCCATAAAAAATATTCTATTTTGGCACAGTCCAATATAGTAGACACTAGACATAAGTGATTGTTGAGTACTTCAAATGTGTGAGAAACTAAATTTTTCCAAAGCTAATATGAAAAAATTTTTAAAAGATTTAAATTACTTTAAATAGCCACACATAGCTCATATTTTCGATAATACAAATCTAATATGCAATAATTTACATATCAATTAGCAGGTCCTAATGCAATTTAATTTTCTAAGGTTTTGATGAGGCACTGGAAGATAAGCACTGGACTGCTTATTTTGAATAGCAATGTCAGTGGTTCAAATCCACCAGGCACACCCCAGAAACACTGCTCAGTGTTGTACTGAGTTGGAAATGACTCAATGGAGTCATTGACTTAACAACAACAATTAGAGGAAGGGCAAATTTTTTTATAGTTTAATACCATTTACATGATCTTTTTTTTTTTTTAACCACTTAAAAAAAGATATTAATATGAATTAAACTGATTAAGTCTTCATCTTAAAATCAAGTCTCAAGTCTATTTCTTTTAAGACTTTTTGTTCCCTTCTTTATTATTTAGGTTTGCTTAGGAATACACATATCTCCTTTCTTCCTTTACATCCTAGCCCAAAGGGATCACGTGCTTCCTACCTAAAAGCTAGATGCAACAGATTGGACTAAAAAAGTGTCACTGAGTATGCTTTCTCTCAGAGTTAAATTATGACATTTATGAAAAACCACTGGTGTTATGACCAAAAGCCATCCCAGATCAAAGTTTGAAAACAGCCATGTTGGCAATGGTAGCATATGTTCATAAGCAAAAATGTGTATGTGAAAAGGAATGCCTTGATCATCTAGGAACGTAGCAAACATTGGAGGTCAAAGACTAACTCTGACATAGCCTTGAAGAAGAAGTAAACCAAAGAAAAATCTCGTGTTATCTGTACCAACCAAGTGTTTCCTTATGATGAGAAATAACACACAGGCCACCAAAGTCTGACAAACAAGTGGTGGATATAAATACGTATGGCAAATACAAACTGAGGTCATGAAAATTATTACCACTCTACCTAAATGGTAAATAGATCTATGTTGCTGTCAAATCCTAATGAATAGTGTCTGTAGGACTATGGCGACAGGATTTGTAGGCCAAGCCTTAACTCAGCAGGCATGATTGCAAGGACTGATCAGCCATGTCTTTCTGCCATGAGTCAGGAGGAAGGTGGCACCTACTGACCCTTGCATACCTTTCACTCCCATTGTTTTGCTTTTGGGAATACAAAACCGCTGATTATAGTCTTAATTCCATGTATCTTTATATACGGAGAGAATATTCTTAAAGTTAGGAGTCCAGTTCTCTTGTCTACTATATTTCTTGTTTGTAAATGAATCAACTGGAATTCTTCTACATTTTGCTCATTGAGTGTCTTGTGAACTAGTTAAATAAACTTCAATTGGGCACAACATCCTTTCTCAGTAAACTGGCAATCAATTTTCCAAGTTCTACTAATGAAAAACCCTTGATTATAATAAATTCACAAATGTCACTTTTGTATGATCTCTTAGTAGTCAAACAACATGCTGGCTTTCTGGTAAGAAACCAACTCAACCAGAGACTTCTTTTAGACCACAACAAAGACTATTTTATTTAAGAACAATTGAATCATTTCTAATTTTAATAATTGCCTTTTTTTCTTCACAGTTCTGCTACTGCTTATCATAAATGTTTTAATTTTACACAAAACTCTTAGCATGTCTCATTATGGAGTTTAAAATCATAATCTGTTTTTTATTAGCTTGTCAAGATTATTTATATTTTCACCTTTCTTTTAAATTCTTTAATCTTTTTTTTTTTCTGAACCCAAATACACTTTGTCATACTTCAATTGTGATGTTATCACTTCTCCATGCCCACAAAACATCCTAAGTCCACCCAGGTTTCTAATTTTACCTTGCGAACATTTGCCAATCGATTCATCATCAGAGACTCCTCTCGGTCATCATCATCATCCAGATCCAGCATGGGCATGCCAAAGGGGTCAATGATGCTGCAGCACCTGGAGCCATCATCTCTTGGGTCAAAGGGATCCACGATTATAGGCTCGGTTCCCTTTATTTCACAGCGACAGAAGGGGCAGCCCTGGCCATCTGATTCCTGAATAAATGCAGAAAATGCTATGAATGGCCTTTGTTCAAAACAAACAATACTGAGCCAATGTTTTACAAAAATAAAAGACTTTCCAAAAAAGGTATCTAATTATTTGAGGGAAAGCAGAAGAGATGAGCGAGGGAGAAGAATGGTCCTGAATAGATAGTGTGATTACAACAGGGAGTCAATAAAATGTATGTAAAACTATTTACATTTTAAATTTCCCAAGGAAGGGAAACATGTAAAATAAAGCTTGATTTGCCAAAGAAAAAGAGCCTAAGTCTTTGTTCCCTTGAATGTTCACTTATAAACAAGTTTTCATGCATTATAGCTGCAGGGTCCCACATAAAACTGAAAATTAAATCATTCCCTATTTTCAAAAAACAAAAAAATACAAGAACTAATTAGACATTCTCTAAAAAGGCATTTTTATAATAATTCATAATGAAGCAGTAGTTTTAATGAGAACAATGCACTTCAAAATCCATTTTAGAAACTTCATATACATAAAACTGTGGCAAAAAATAGTTCCATTTTCATTGCTTAGGTATATATAGGAGTCCTGGTGTGGTTCTGTAGGATAAACACTGGACATCTAACCTAAAGGTCAGTGGTTTAAACCCGCCAATAACTTCTTGGAAACCCTATGAAGGGTAGACATGAGTTAGAACTGACTGATTGAATGACACGTAACAGCAATAACAACTGGTTCAAACCCACCAGTCACTCCTCAGAAAACCTACACAGGGCTGCTCTGAATTGGAACTGACACAGAGACACTTAACACTAACAACAGGTACATAAAAAATATTGAATTATAAGGAAGTGGTAATAAATAAATAAAAAACCGTAAATTTATCTCTGTAAACCATGAATGTCCTGATAGCCTGACATACTGATACAGCTAACTTGGAAAATAATACCATGTGAGATATTAAGTTTCGTTCCTTATGTGCAAATTATTTTGGCCCAGAATTCATGTATTACTAATTACTGAAACTTTTGCTCAAAGTCTCTCAAATTCATTTTTAAAAAAACATACATTAAAAATTCAAAACTGGCAGGGAAAAGAGAACAAGCTGTTTATCTCACAGTACAGATATACTGCTATCTAGAAATAAGACTGTATTCACTAGTAGGTTTTTGGTTTGCATTACACTCTGACCTTAGTACTGTGTTAACTGCAAACAGTAAAACCATAAAATCATTTTAGGGCAGAAAAAGGAAGATTATCACCACTTTATGTAAGAAACAAAAAAGTGCCTAGAGCTGACATCTTTCAAGAAATCAGTCTGTGCCCATTCATTTGGTACGATGGGAAACTGATGATCTATCTATCTTACCTTTATAACAATGTTATGTCAAACAGATGGATTAATTTTCCTGTTCTCTTGTCACTGGACAATTACTGAGCATACACTTTTTGGTATACCCTGTGGTAGGTAGTTCATTCTTTCTTAAACATCACTCAGATTAACACGTAAAATGTTGCCTTTTCCACAAAAGTTGTCAAAAAATGAAAGGAAATTTATGATCCCTTTTGATTTACTGTTGTAATTTGGGGAAGAAACTTGAATTGATAAAATGGATAAACTAAGGTAGTGTGAAAAAAAGTAAGTGTGCTAATACAGAAGGCTCGACAAGGTACCATCATGAACACTCTAACTTGGTGGGTGTCAAGACACCTTAACACTTTTAAGACTGAATTATTTTCTACTGTGAATTTTTTTTTTTTAATCAAGTGTTTTCACTAATGAATGGCATTCTGAATGAAATAGGAAAACTTTGTGTTAAGATAATAAGGATTCTGATGCAATTAGTATGACACATATGTCCCAAAGAAGCTCTGGTGTCAAGCCTGATAGAATAATACACATTTCCTCATATTCATGCAGTTATGCAGCCCACCTTCAGATGGCAACATTTCACCAGACTTAACACCAGAGATTCTTTGGGGAAATATGTGTCCCAGTAATTATATCATAAGGAGTTCTGGTAGTGTAGCAGTTACGAATCGAACTGCGAACCGCAAGGTCAGCAGTTCGAAACTACGAGATGCTCCATGGGAGAAAGATGAGGCTTTCTACTTCCGTAAAGATTTACAGCCTCGGAAACCCTGTTCAGGATTGCTATGGGTCGGAACCAACTCGATGGCACTTAACTACAACAGCAATTATATCATGGAATCCTGGTATAGTGCAATAGGATGAGCACTGGACCATATGTTTGGTTTGAAGCACAAAGTCAGCAATTTAACCCTACCAGCTGCTCCTCAGAAACCCTATCCAAGGTTGCTATGAATTAGAACCGACTTGATGGTACTTAACTACTGTATCATACCTAAAAATCTGTCCGCTAAACCTGCATTTTAGTCATATTTTCAGTGCAGTACACGGAATGTATAAATCACTCTATTAGGGTTTCATGGTGTCTCCTAAGTCAGTTTGCATAATTTTTGGTTAAGGGTGTCTCTGGAACTTGTGATCTATTTACTGAAAAGAGGTAACTGAAAAGACTGGGTTTAAAAGAGAAGGAGATGAAAGGCAATAATAGCATCTTGATGATACTAGAAAAGGACTGGGGATGGCTCATTTAAAACCCAATTTTGGTTTTTCTTTATCCTGTTTACATAAAAATTTAATGTTGTACAAATTACTGATGTGTATTAGAAAAGCTGTTATATAAGTAGATATCACAAAAAATATTTCTTATTCAGCTTTGTCTGTTTAGAGAATTTAATTGCTCACCAGATACAAAGCTTTTCAATGAACATACTGTTTGCAAACTCAGATCTCATTTAATATATCTACATGCTCTTCACTAATCATTCTTTCTGTGTAAATTGACTATTGTTGTGCAAATTAAGCTTAACCATAAACCCTCTAATGCTACTTTTGGTTACTCTGGTTTGTCAAAGGAGTTCTGGTAGCATAGTGGATACAAGTCAGGCTGCTAATCTCAATGACAGCAGTTCGAAACTACCAGCCACTGCACAGGAGAAAGATGAAGCTTTCTGCTTCCACACCTTAGTTCTCAAGCTAACGCCTTTGCTCTTCAACACTTCAAAAAGGTCTTGAGCAGCAGATTTGCCTAATGCAATACCTAATTTGACTTCTTCACTGCTGCTTCCATGAGTGTTACATGGTTGATCCAAGAAGATTGAAGTCCTCAACACCTTCAATCTTTTCTCTGTTGATAAAAATGTTGTTTATTGGTTCAGTGGTGAGGATTTTTGTTTTCTTTACATTGACATGCAATCCACACTGAGGTCTTCTATCTTCATCACTACGTATTTTAAGTCCTCTTCACTTTCAGTAAGCAAAGTTGTATCATCTGCATATCAGGTTGTTAATGAGTCTTCCTCCAATCCTGATGCCATGGTTTTCTTCATATAACTCTGCTTCTCAGATTATCTGCTCAGCATACATACATGTTGAATAAGAATGATGAAAGACTACAACCATTGCCTTTTGATACGATTGTATGTATTCCTTTCATCTTCTTTTTATGCTTTCTGCATTATTCAATAATTTGCCCAGAGAAAACTTCATTAACAAAAGTCGAGACTTGAATGTTTCTTCAGTTTCCTCAGCTTGAGAAATGCTGAGCGTATTCTTCCCTTTTGGTTTTCTAACTCCAGATCCTTTGTACATTTCGTTATAATATTTGACTTTGTCTTCTTGAGCTGACCTTTGAAATTTTCTGTTCAGCTCTTGGACCTCCTCATTTCTTCCATTTGTTTAAGCATCTCTAAGCTGGAGAGCTCTGGTAAGCATAGTGGTTACGAATCGGGCTGCGAACCTCAAGGTCAGCAGTTCAAAGCTACCAGCTGTTCCATGGGAGAAAGATAAGGCTTTCTGCTCCCGTAAAGATTTACAACCTCGGAAACCCTGTACAGGGTCGCTATGAGTCGTAACTGACTCCAAGGCACATAATCATCACCACCACACTGGATAGCAAGTTTCAGAGTCTCTTCTGACATCCACTTTAATCTTTCCCTTCTTTCTTGTCTTCTTAATGACTTTTTGCTTTCTTCCTGTATGACGTTCTTAATAACATCCCACAACTCTTCTGGTCTTCGGTCTTTAGTGTCTAATGTATCAAATCTGTTCTTCACCTATCTGTAAATTCAGGTGGGATATATTCAAGGTCATAATTTGACTCTCATGGGCTTGTTTTCATTTTGTTCAGCTTCAGTCTGAATTTGCATATGAGCAATTGATGGTCTGTTTCACAATCTGCTCCTGGCCTTGTTTTGGCTTTCTAAAGATGTAGTCAGTTTCATTTCTGTGTATTCCATCTGGTGAGGTCCATGTATAGTTGTCTCTTATGCTGTTTGAAAAAGGTATTTGAAATGAACAAATCATTGGTTTTGCAGAATATTATCATGTGATCTCCAGCATCATTTCTATCACCAAGGCCATATTTTCCCAAGCACTGATCCTTCCTTTTGTTTCCAACCTTTGCATTCCAATCGCCAGTGATAATCAATATATCTTAAATGCATGTTTGGTCAATTTCAGATTGAAGAAGTTGGTAGAATTCTTCTATTTCATCCTCACTGGCTTTGGTGTTTGGTGCATAAATTTGAATAACAATGGTATTAAGTGGTCTTCCCTGTAGGCACATGGATATTAGCTTATCACAGACAAGCATTATACCTCATGACAGACCTTGATACTTTCTTTTTGATGATGAATCCTATGCCATTCCTCTACGTCTTTCCCAGCATAGCAAACTATGTGGTTGTCAGATTTAAAATGGCAAATACCAGTCCATTTCAGTTCACTCATTTTTAAGATATCAGTGTTTATGCTTTCCATTTCATTTATGACTATTTCCAATTTTCCTAGATTCATACTTTGTATATTCAATGTTTCAATTATTAATGGATGTTTACAGCTGTTACTCTTCATTTTGAATTGTGCCCATCAGCAAATGAAGGTCCCAAGGGCTTTACTCCATTCATGTCATCACGGTCAACTCTACTTTGAGGAGGCAGCTCT